TCATTCCGGACTCTTATGATGATCATAATACCCTAAAATATATTAATTTTATACTATTCTCTCCCTCATCGGCTTTATCCAGTTTTTCTCAGTCTTACGCCCACCCCAATGTCAGCCTCATTCTACAAGAGTTTCACCATATAATATTTGTCCTTTTGTGACTGAGATATTTGAGAGACAAGTTTTTATTGCTATCATTGTGTTGAGTTTTTTTTTTTATGTTGTTGCTGGTTACTTTGGTCCATCCTGCTTTCTGTGGTACATCTGTAAGAAGGATGTCTCTCAGTGTTTCCTACAATGCTGGTCTTGTTTTTACACACTCCTTTAGGTTCTGTTTTTCTGGGAATATCTTGATGTCTCCTTCATGTTTGATCAGCCATTTTGCTGGGTACAGTAGTATTGGTTGACAGTAGTTTTCTTTGAGTGTTCAATATATGTTATTACACTGTCTTCTTGCTCGCATCGTTTCTTATGGGTTACTCTTAGTTTCTCCTTTGCTGCTTTCAGAATTCTCCCGTTATCTTCCGCTCCCCACCCCCCTTGGCACGTTATCATATAATATGCCTTGGTGTTTTTCTGTTGGGGTCTATTCTATATAGTATTCTCTAAGCTTCGTGAATATATATTTTCTCATTCTTCATTATGCCTGGAAAGTTTTTTTCTACTAATTCTCCCACAACTTTTTCAGTGCCTTTAGTTGCTTCTTACTCTTCTGGAATTCCAATGATGCACATGTTATTTCTCTTGCTATCCCACATTATTCTTAGGTATTCTTCTTTTTCCTTTATTTTTGATTCTGCTTTTAACTCTAGCACAATTGTGCTGACAATTCTATCTTCTATTTCACTAGATCTGTGTTTCATCTCTTCAACTCTGTTCATGTGTCCTTCCATCATGTTCACAGCTACAAAAACATTGGGCCTCATATTTAGGATTTTGCTGTCTTATTTTTCCAAAGCCTCTAATGCCTCATTGGGGTTTTTTTCCTGCATGTTTTGAATTGTTTTCTTAAGCTCTTCCTGGTTCTTTCACCCACTGGAGATATTGAGTCATTGTTCTTTTAAATTCTGTATCAGAAAGTTTCATCAGACTTTCTGTCTTCGGAAAATCCATTGATATTGTGTTATTTTTTTGGTGGGGTGACATCTTGCTTTGGGCTTGTTTAGGGAGTGAGGTAGCCTGTTTCCTAGGTGACATTGCTTTAGTAGAGTTTTTCATGACTGAAGAGATAGCAGGTTCTTGATTTGAAGTCACTGCTCCAGGAGTGGGTAGGACAACAACCGCACCAGGGTTTCTCTCTGCCTTTTGACCCAAGGAAAGATCTGCTTCAGTTCGGTAGAGAAAAGGCCTGTGAAAGCAGCCAACTGCTACAACTAGGGTACTTCAAGACGCTCTAGACTAAAGGCAGTGGATGTGAGGAGACACAAGGTGGATTATGGAGACCTGATTGGAAAATACGAAGCCTTGGTTTTTCCCTTCACGAATGAGTTCCAGATGTCTTGCTCCCTTCTGATTGGGCTTATGGGGTCCCATGTGATCCAGCCAAACAGTTGAGACACCCCCCCCACAATGTACCTTACTAAAGTTCCATCATTGCTTCAGCATGGGCATCAGCTCCAGGTGCAAGATGTCAGAGTTGAGAGTAAAGTTTAGTGTCGGGTCCAGAGTTCCCAGCACAGGGCATCGGCATTGGCACTAGAGTCTGTTTTTCAGTGTTTTTAAACCCCTCACTCAAATTCCAGTGTGGCAGCATTTCTGTGTGGAGCCATGCTCCCTTGTGGCCCAGCGCTCCTGTGTGGCATGGCACTCCCATGCAGTGGGATCAGGTAGTAGCCTCAGGTGGTCCTCACTTCTAGTCACTTTTAGAGGGATAACAATAATGAAGTGATAATACAGTAGAAGATAATTTTAAACCAAAACTCAGAATCACAGTAATAACCAGGCTGGTTTGACAGAGACTCATGAAACCCCTGAGACTTAGCTGCCTTTTGAGCCTGGACCTGAACTCACTTCAACCCTGAAACTTTCAGTTAAACAATGGACAGGTTTATAGGATGACCAGTAATAGCAAGGAGATTTCTTAGGCTTTATTGCAATGGAAGATTTGCCTAGGGATAAAAAACAATAGGAAGGGAGTGGATGGATGGATATATGGATGGATGGATGGAAACAACTACAAAGAGATAGTGGGAAGAATGGTGATATAATGAGAAGCTTGTAGTCAATATCTTAAAATATCTATGAATAGTTGAATGGAACACCAATCTTCTCTGTAAACTTTCATTCAGAACAAAAAGAATAAAAAGTCACAATATAGTTTGAGAGACAGAAGGTAGAATTTGTGACTAGAAGACAAGGTTTCAACTCTCTCACAACTCAATAGCTTTGTGACCTCAGATCACTCACTCATTCATTGCTGGTGAGTTGGAATAAACTTATAACTGAACCTTCAGTAGGGTTTCAGTCTGCAAATCACGCAGGAGGGTATTGCCTATCTTTACCTTTTGGAGCATCTGGAGTGTTCGCATTACCTTCCCTTGGGTTTTCAGTGCAACTCCTTACTCACTAGGCAATCAGAGAAAAGCCACACAATCTCAAAGAGGATTTTTTTTTCTTCTTTTAAATGTCAGATGAAGATATGGATCTGTGAAAATTGTCTCACAGTGTTGTTCTGAGGCTTCATTATGCTTAGATATACGAAAACTCATTGTAATTGGTTTGCTAGGTTGCTAAGAATCACAAATATGAATAATAAGACTCTCCAATTGCCAAACTGTGAGCTGTATCTCTCAGATGCCTTGGGAAGTCCAGATTGTGAGCCAGAGCTATCAAGGAACGTTTCCCGGAGAAAATGGGACTTGAAGAAACCTCTTAAAATCAGAGAGGATATCAAGATGTGTAAAGGAGCAGTGGAGGGTGGGAGACAATGCTAGGGAGGGAAAAGTGCCATAAGCAAAGAATACAGGGAATGGAACTGGCTTATAAGCACATACCATGAGAAACATAGGATAGTTACTGTTGTTCTTTGCCTTTGAGTCAGAACTGCTTCATAGCTGACCTTCCAGTGGGTTTTTAAAGACTGTTAATCCCACAGGAGAAGATTGACCATGGTTCTCCCACAGAGAAGCTGGTGGATTTGAACTGCATACCTTTGAGGTTACAGCACAGCTTCTTATCACTAGGCCACCAAAGCTCCCTGAACATTTACTAGAGTAGTTGTAATAGATGATTCCTCTTCTGAAAGAACAGAAGAATGAATAGATAGATAGAATATGGTGAACTTCTCCTTCAGGCAAGTTAATATCTTTTTCATCAACAACTGCTACTCTAACAATGTCCTATCTTTGTCCATGCCTCCCTCCCTCTCTCTGGCCTTGAACAGTTCCTTGCATATGCCAGGTGCTGAATAAATGCACAGTAAGTGAAAGAATGGGTGAATGATTATGCCATCTGCTTTTCTTGCCTGATTCCTTTAATGCTATTTAAGATCATAAGCCACTGGAGCAGAGATTGCCTTTTGACTCCCTCTGTGTGGTACAGCCCCATCTACTGTTTGCATTCCTGAAATTCTTTGCAAAGATGTCACTATTATGTGTTGTTTATCTTCACCTTGTCCCAGAAGACTCTTTACCTCCACCAAACAACAAAGTGACAAGCAAGTCGTGTGAGTACAATGGGACTACCTACCAACATGGCGAGCTGTTCATGGCTGAAGGACTCTTTCAGAATCGGCAACCCAATCAGTGTACCCAGTGCAGCTGTTCGGTAAGACTTTTCATCTTAATGTTTCTTCTAGTCACTCTCTAAATGAAAGAGTCTCTACCGTCTTTGTGGTTTTCTTTTGGGCCTTATATTATAGTGGGTTTGCTTGGAAGTTGAACTGCATCTAAATTGTAATCCTCTCTGCCAACTCCTTAATCCTTATGCACCTGTTTGAAGGAGATCAGGTCTCAAAACTTGAGAATTTCTTGAATGGGTAGAGGTGTGCTGTTGCTTAAACTGCATCTCTTTCCTAGTAGTTACACCACCAAAGCCTTCATTTAAAAGATTCAGTTACTTGAAGCCTTGGGAATATTATGGGTGGAAATATCATCCTTCTCTATCTAGGGCATTCTATCTAATTTATAAGAAAAGAAAGAACCTGCAGCCTCCTTTATCTGATATCTTATATTAACTTGTTTATTCATAATACCCTGCAATGTGGAAAACCCCCAAAACCCAACAATGCACAACATGATAAATAATTGGCTGTGATAATTTCTGTGACATTATTTATCAGAAGATCTGCATGCATACACAGAGTAAAGAAGACCAACTATATTGTTATGTAATTGTGTAGACCATAGAATATAATAGAATCACAAAACAAGGGAAGATGGCTCTTTAAATTGAAACATGAAGGAATGAAAACATATAGACATGATTTTTTTCCCTCTGTGGGACATTAAGGAGTCCCTGGATAGCACACAGATGGTTAAGTTCTGAAATGTTCATTGTCAAAGTTAGAGATTCAAGCTCACCCAGAACTGCCTAGGAAGTAAGGCCTGGCAAGCAGCTTGTGAGAAAGTTAAGACAATCCTATGGAACACAGTTCTGTTTTGTACCCATGGGGTCTCCATGAGTCTCAATAAACTTAATGGCAACTAACAACAAGGGACATTAAATACTGGCTTCCCAAAATATGCTGTAAAATCTCTTCCTTTAGAGATTATGTTTTTTTTCTTTTAGTAAAATTATAGTATCTCAGTAATTTTGGGAAATTTGGTTGGTTGTGACTATGCCTTTCAGATGACTTTTTAGGAACCCTTCTGATCCAGAAAATGTGTATTTAAGGACCAAGAACAATTTAAAGAAAAAAAAATAGTTTAGTTTACACATAGTTATTGCTTGGTTGTTTTCCAAATCTTCCAAAACAAATATTCACAGTAACAACAATGTTAACTAATATTAAAATAACTTAAAATCTCTAAAAAGAATTTCTTTGGTAAAGTAAAAGGAAAAAAATTCAGGAGTGATTTGTTGTTGTTGTTGTGTGCTGTCTGATCAAGTGTGACTCATAGTGACCGTATAAACAACTGATCCTGTCTTGTACCATCCTCACACTTCCTGACACACTCAAGCCCATTGTCACAGTCACTGTGTCAACCCACCTGGTCAAGGATATTCCTCTCTTTCACCAGCCCCTCTAAGGAGTGACATTGGTAGTACAGAATTTTAGAAACTAGAGGTTGTGCAAATACAAATACAACCTAGCAAGTAAATTTGATCCTCTCTATTGTCTTGTGCTGGACTGAGCTGTAGCATTCAGAAAGTGTTCAATAGTCTTGTATTGCTCCAGAGAGCTTGTCTCTCTGGTTTGAAATGGAAAAATCTAATGAATGTTACAAGTGACAGCTGTCACACAAATCTTCATTCTCTTAAATATTCAACATTGCAGCTGAAGAACACTGGAGACAAAGGAATACAGTGAACAAAGAAGAGAGGAACCAGAATCTATTTGGTGGTTTGGAGACCCCATGGAAACTCTCACAATGAATATTTTTGTACAATCTTAAGCCAGGATGCCCAAAGTATGGGATTACTGCCAACTCTTTATGGTCTAGTCTCTGGTGTTGAAAAATAGTAAACAAAAAAAGAATTAGTGCATAATGGAACTTAGGAAGTGCCTATAACTGACTCCAAAGGAGAAGCTGAGAGGCATGTGTCATATTTTGAGCCAATGTTTTATCCCACGTACTGAGGTAAGCCTTCATATGCATATCAGGTCCTTCTTATTTCAACTGTTTCTTCTTGGCAGGAGGGAAATGTATATTGTGGACTCAAGACATGCCCCAAACTAAGCTGTGCATTCCCAGTCTCTGTTCCGGATTCCTGCTGCAGGGTATGCAGAGGTAGGTGTCCCACAGCCAAAAGACTTAGAATGTTACTTTCTTGATTGAATAGCAAGACTTAAAATAGAGGTAATTGCTTGCCCAGTATCCTGAGAAAATAAACGCTAACAATAACAACAGCAACAAAATAATGGTAGCATTGGATTTTAGAGGTACTTTGGATTGCCAAAAGAAAAGCGCTGATTTACAAAGCCAGAGCCTGAAAGAAATTAATTTGATTGTAGTGTGGCAGGTTAAGAGATGTAAGAGTCATGTAAGGTAAAGAGAGTATCTAGCTTTCAGGTCTTTTATGAAATGTTTGCAGCTTGATTTTTAAGTTATTGTATTATTACACACATGTCATTTCTACACACAGCCTTAAAAGGAAAAACAGACCTCACAAAATACACTTATATGCTCCTTTTATGGTTGTGTAGCACATAATTAAGTTCTTAAAAATAATTGACAGTAAAGTGGACAAAAACACAATAAAAACCATAATGAAAGAAATCATCTTCCAAAATTATATACAAATGGAATAATCATAATTTTTTTCTTTATAAGTTCCCTCTCCTCTCCTTTTTATAAAATAATGTCACCTTAGGTTTTTAGAATCAAACGTAATCATTTTAATTCTTCTTTTGTTGCCTCTTCTCAAGTTAATGAATCTGGGAGCAGCTTCAGTTATTAGTTCTCTCTCCTTAGCATTTTCCATTGCCACTGTCCTCATTTTGCCCTCCTTTCATATTTCCATTCGCACAGTGTGTTGAGCATTTCCTACTGGTGTATGCTTGACACTGCATAGAAACTGGGTTTATACTGGTTAACAGGCTAGACATACCAAATTTTTACAGAGCATCTGCATTTGATACATTTTATTTTTTCAAATACCTTGTGTGTATTAGCTTTCTATATGTTCTGTGCACTCTATGTTTGCTTAAGTGTAAATTGTTACTGTTGTTGTTGTGTGCCATTAAGTACAAGTCAACTATCTGGTGGGTTTTCAGAGGCAGTAAACCACACAGGAGTCTTCTCTGTGGAGATACTGTTTAAATTCATATCTGAAAGATAGGCTATGGAGAGTCAGCACAGTAGAGGAAGATGTTGGATGTGATAGATTGACATTGTGACTGTGGCAATGGGATCAGGTGTGTCAGAGACTGTGAGATTCACTTAAGATAGGGCCAGTTTCAGAGCCATTGTTTATAGGGTCACTGCAGATTGTAGTTAATTTGTTGGCACATAACAACAACAAAAACCCATACAAAGAAGCTTGCAGGAAGAACATTCCAGGCAGAGAAAATAAAGATTAAAGGCCTCAGGCAAGAAAGAAGTTATTCAAGGAGCCAAATTATCAGTGCTGTTGGAAGGTAGTAATCATGGTCAAAACAGGCACAAGCTGTTGCTAGAGAGGTGACTAAATGTCTATCCTGCAAGGCCTTGTAGGGAATGGGAAGGATTTTGAGTACAATGAGAAGCCGCTGGAAAGTTGTGAGCATGGTGACATCTCATTAATGCCTAAATGGATCTATCTCATTGGCTATTGTATTCAACCTAGATTATAGGAAGTCAACAATTCAGAGAAAAGACCAGGGAGAAGGTTGGTATAGTGACTTATGAAATGAAAGGGGAAGGGACTACAGTACACAATGTTATTGCTGTGTGCTGTTGAGTCAAAACCAATCCTCAGCTGATCCTCTAGCAGATTTTCATAGGCAGTAAATTACATGGACAGAGATTGCCCACCCTTCTTCTGTGGAGCAGCTGGTGGATGTGAACCATGTACCTTTGGGATTGCAGAAAAGCTTCATACCACTATCCCACAGTGCACAATGTTTGTTGTTAAGTGCCGCCGAGTCGCAGGCAACTCATAGTGACCCTATGAAGGAGAGTCCTCGATGCTTGGGTGCCTTTCATCCTCTTTCCAGGTTCATAGGGTTTCCGGAGGCAAGCTATTATGGAAGTGGATGCCTCTCCTCCTTCCAAGCTTGTTTTAATCGGGGAGCTCCACCCCACTCTCTGTTCGCACTGGGTAGCCAACCATTAACACCTTTGACACATCAGTGTCACAGGGTTCAGCCTCACAGCAACCACAAGTGACCACAGTACGGAAACTTGTATACCAGGACTATATGACCTAGAGGAATGTCTGAACAAAAACAATAAAAGACAGGCCCGAGGGCTGCAGATTAAAAGTCACCCACCTAGCACTTTCTGTCCACTGGGCCAGCTGATCTCTCTCTCTATGTTGATATTATTGTTGTTAAGACAGTGCACAATAGTGATCAAAATTACCAATCCCAGTCCTGCTACTTTCTAGCTGGATGAACATGAGAAACTTACTTGACTTTTCAAGTAAACCTATATCTTGTTGTTGTTAAGTGCCATCGAGTCTCAGGCGACTCATAGTGACCCTATGAAGGAGAGTCCTCGATGCTTGGGTGCCTTTCTTCCTCTCTCCAGGTTCATAGGGTTTCCAGAGGCAAGCTATTATGGAAGTGGATGCCACTCCTCCTTCCAAAAACCTATATAGTGAAGATAATATCAATATATATAATAATTCAGATCAATAATCAATCATAACCAAAGAGATTATGAGGTTTGAATGCGATGACACAGGGCCAAGGTTTAGCAGTGCATTTCATAATGGGTGCATATAGAATCAATTTAGCAGAATTAAACCAAGAGTGGGAGGCAATTCCCATGTGTAGCCAACTTTGAGAACCACTGAGGTAGCAGGGAAAAAAAACTTATCAAATTTGCTGAGGGTAGGGGCTAGGTGATGCCTATATATTCCTGCAATATAATCTTTCTAAAAGATAGCCTTAACTGTATGCTAACACTCTGCTAAATTGTGTGCCAATACATATTTCAGTTACCCTAGTCTAGCCCCATTTTTGAACACTTTACAATTCAGACCTCGTGTAATGCATGACAATCTCATGTGGTAATCACTATTATTTTCTTCAATTAAAGGATGATGAAACTAAGCCAGAGAAATGTTAAGAACTTTGTTCAGAGTCATATAGCTAGTGACTCAGAGAGCTAAGAATTGAGTTCAAGCCACACAAAAGAATGGCTCCTAATTGCGAATAGGATACATACTAACCCCCCACTCTGATACGAAGACCTTCCATAGTCTAGTTTCAACTTACCTTTATAGGCCTACATTTTTCTATTCATGTACCAGAGGTCCCAGTCGCATTGGGGTTTGCTTCTCTTCTTCTTACAAAATACATTTTTTTTTCTTCTGGATACATTACATATTTTTGTCCAACAACACAAAGGAAAGACACGATATCCTGTTATCCTTATTCATTGTACAACTTTCATATGCACTTGAGATGATTGAAAATAGCACCGCTTGGTTCAAATGAGCCTTTGTCTTCAAAAGAATATTCTTGTTCTTGAACATTTTAAAGGGGCCTTTGACAGCAGATTAGTGATACTGTTCTTGTGTTCTATTTTTTTCAATTTTGCTCTTTCATCTAACCCCTAGCCCAGTATTTCTCAAACTATGGTTTGCATCACCATTACCTGAAGACCTTATTGAAATTTAGATCCTTAGAATGCATCTCCAGAGATCCTGCCTTGGTGTTCTTCTTGGTTCTAGGTCTCCAAAATCTGTATTTAAACAATCCCCAGAGTTCATTTATCTGCAGATGATCCATATACTGGCACGTTGAGAAACCATTCCCTCAGATGATGAAGATGACTGGAGATGATGGTTTTACATCTGTGTTTAGTACACTTAAATTTAATTTACTAAAGGGTGAAAATCCTTTAGTCCTGAAAAATTAATGTAAATCTCTCTCTTCTCTGTAACATCCAGTACTGAACTTTTGCTAACTTAGTAACATTTATCAACTTGTCTTTTATTATGTGTGTCCTTCCTAATGTCATATCTTATTTTGCTTCATGTCTTTTCAGCCCTACCAATGTATATGTTCCTTAAAGCAAACATTTCTTCTGGTTTATCTTTATTTCCTTCACTGTGCTAGTTGAAAGAATGTATACTACTTTGGAAATCATAATAGAAAATTGGTCATAGAGAGAGCCAAGTGCAGAGAGAGCCAAGCCCAGAAAGAGTGGGCAGGACATATGGAATTTAATAAGAACTATTATTAAAATAACTTATTTGGGAGCCTCAGTGCGGAGCAGTGAGCCTTGGCAGGAAACAGTGAGTTGCAGTGGGACCCACCCACCAGGAGAAAGTAGGACAGCAGGAATTTGAGTGAAGTATCTAAAGGGGGATCACTGCTGATTGCTGGACCAATTGTGGGACCCCTTCACCTTAAGCAAGAGGGAGTGAGAAAGCTGGAGCTTGACTGGGGTTGTGAACCCAGATCTTGAGGACAAAACTAAGGCTTCCTGGTTTTTCCATTTAGGACCTTCCCCCTCCCGCACACACACACACCCAGCACATGGGTCTGCATTTGTATCCCCCCCAGCCCCTGCATGCATCCACATGGGTGCCCACCCTACTTGCATCCATGCATATGCCCACCCTCTGTACAACTGTATGTGAACTCACCCACCTTCTCCTGGAGCAATAACATCAGATCAAGAACCAGCTATCGCCTCATGCATGAAAAACTCTACCACAGCAACGTCACAAAAGAAGCAAGCTACCACACTTTCTACACAAGACCTAAGATATCACCCTCCAAAAATGACACAATATCAATGAATTTAATGAAGCCAGAAAGTTTGATGGAACTTTCTGACACAGAATTTAAAAGAATAATGATTGAATATTTTCAATGGGTGAAAGATAAACTTGAAGAATTACAGGATACAGCAAGCAAAAACCAAGGGAGAAGCTTACAAAAACTATCCAAAACAATGCAAATAAAACAAACGAGGCATTAGAAGCACTGGAAAAACAAGAAACCACAATCCAAAATATAAGCACCAATGTCTCAGATGCTGTCAACATGATGGAGGGACACATGAACAGAATTGAAGAGATGGGACAAAGAACCAGTGAAACAGAAGATGGAATTGTCACCAAGGATCTT